ACTAGAGGCAAAGGGGTCGTTCCATGGGTGCAAGGTTTCCTTGAATGGATCGATTCGTACAGAAGCCGCCAGAGACGGAAGGATGAGGAGGCAGAGAGGATCCGCATCTTGCAGCAATATGTTATTGAGTCACGGGAAGCGGTGCTTGAATCACAAAGGCAAGAAAAAGAAATGCAAGCGATAATGCAAAAGGAAGTCGTAAGGCAAGTGCAAATACAATTGAGTACCCACGGGATTACAACAGCTCCAGGAATCAACATTAGCCCCCCCCCCCAATCAGTTGAGAAGCAGTTGTGCTTCTACGGAGCTGCCTGATGCCATAAAAGATGCAGAGCTGCGCTTCCCCGTGGATGACGTCACTGAAGCTTTTACATCATGTGAGCTGCACATTCCAAAAGATAATGACACAGTGAAGGTGGCTATTGGTGTTGTAAACCCTATCGACCGTACCAAGACACCAAGAATCCATGGGGCAGTAGTACCAGCTGGATATGCTACCGTCTCGGTGGATAAAGCTATTGAAGGTTTTAGCGATGTGCCTCTTGACATTCATGGAGGTGACAGGGAGAACCGTGGGAGAAGCAGAGAAGTCATTCATTGTATGGCGCAAGCGCTACATCAATATTCCCAGAAAGCCGTTGCCGCACAATAGGTATGGATGAAAGTGAACGAAACAATTTTTTTTTATTAATTTTATATTGCCTCTTAAATAACAATTGACTCATTGTCTTCTGTACGCACACAACAGGGCCTCCCCCAACCTAAGTCCAATAGTACAATCACCAGACAAGCATAGTGCTCCGGGCGGCGGTTACGATGGGGTAGAAGACACGGCTGCATCCCCACCATCTCCAAGACGGTCTCCTCCCCCGCCGCCACCGCCTCCAAGGCGTTCCCCAACGCCGCCTCGAACTTATATAAACTAGTCTATTGTTTGTATGTCATGAAAGTAGCATACTTAACTTTATGCTCTTGATATATGAACTAGTCTATTGTTTGTATGTCATGAAAGTAGCATACTTAACTTTATGCTTAACCACTCATATAACTTATATAATCGAGATTAGAGATAAGTTGAGGTGGCGGTTCATTGTGCTTTCGAGTGTGCCCAAGTCCTTTACCTATCGATCCATAGGGTCAGGGACCCAAGGGGATTTGGGTAGTTTCTGTATACGCAAGCGTGGTGTTTGGGTAAGGAGAGACAGATGAATACATTGTCCCTCTCCACGGTTAAGGTGGTAGGCGGTAGGTGGTGATAGCCATGTCTGTCCCTTGTAATCCCCCACCCCCACGTTCGTTTGGGTGTAGGAGTCTAAATTGTCACCTGAGGTTGCTGGCTGACCAGTACTCGATGGCCTCCCGACCTGCTTCACACTTAGCCCTAAAATTAATTATGTAATTTGTATGATCATTAACTAATATTTGTATGACTATACTAGACCATTGCCTACTCGACTTAGGATTATTCTTTTATTATTTCTCTTTATTTTATCCTTTGAGGAATGCTAGGTGTGTGTCCACTATCTTAAAATCACCGTTCTTACCCCTGTTATAAACATTGGTGTACTTGCAAGCATTATTATCCAAATTCATATCCATACTAGACTCTTAATCAAATACCTTCCTTTGGAAAAATATAAATAACGATACACTGAATACTTCCAGGTGAAATGCTACAATAATAGCTCCATGCGCTTGTGGATAAATATCTAAAATTGTTAAATAACTATCAAGGTTATTACTTAGTGGCAATGCTAATTTCTAGTGATGTTGCTAAGTAATACCAACGAGCACTTCTGGCGCCGTTGCTAGGAATACAAACCTAGTGGCTATGCTAAGAAGTACCAACAACCGGCTAGGTCGGTTCCCGGTGGCGAAACATTTCTCGTGGCCGCTCTTATCCTCCTTGTGCGCTCGTGGTTAACCTTGTTAGGTTGGTTCGCCACAGTGGCCGATTGCTCATGCGCGCGGCGAAGTGCCTTGGTGGCTACTCTGATGGCTCAGCATGAAGATGACCATGGCGTCGACGCTGACGAGTTCACAGTGAGGGAGGAGAGGGGAGAAGAGGAGTGTCGTGGGGTCCCGAGGTCTTATCGTGTCGCTGTTTACCTTCGCTGTCACCAAGGTGGAGTAAATTGGGCGTTGACGCACGGGCTGTGCCGCGTATGGCTACCGGCCACGAGGTAGGCAAAGGAGATGACAGGTGGGGCCCAAGCGTCGATGAGAGAGAGGGAGAGAAGGGAAGGCGCGGGTGAGGCTGGGCCGAGCGCTAGGCTGCGGCTGCTGCTGCGCTTGTTGGGCCGGCCCACGCGCGAGAAGGGAAAGGGAAGAAGAGAAGTGGAGCGGGCTGCTGCGGGCCGAAAGGGGAGAGGGAAAGAGAATGAGCCCATGGGGTTTTTATTTATTTCTATTTTCTTTTCTTTTTCCTAGCCTTCATATGCATTGTTTGAATTAGTTTTTGATTTCAAATTTGAAATGCAAATATGTAGTGAGTACCACCATATGTCCAGCAAGTCAAGCAAACATTCACACATAATGTTTTATTTCATACGTTGGTCTATTTATACTATGAATATCACCTATGTTAGTTATATATTCTAATTCCTATCACTACTACAAATTGACCAATCACCAACGCATCTATCACCACCGGTATCATTAAAAACGATGGTAATAGCTATCACCAATGGTTCGTAATATGAACCGTTGGTGATGAGAGTATCATCGCCGGTTCATAAGAACGTCCGGGTTGATAACTATCACCGCCGCTTTGTCATACCAACCGACGATGATAGTCCATCATCACAGCTGGTTTGCACAACCAGCCAGTGGTGATTATGTGCTGCTCATCACTGTCGCCTCTCTATATGAACCAGCGGTGAAGACATTTTCACCGCCAGCTTCTTGTATGATACGGCAGTGATAATCATGCTGTAGTATAAATAAATTTATAACTTTTTCAAATAAAGTCAGATGTAAACAAATTTTATATTAAAGTTGTAGATCTCGACGCAATCGACAACTTTGTAGTTGATGACTTTTTTATTTAAAACCATGTACGGTCCAGAATTTTGTTTGAAGTGCTTAATTTCTGAAATTCAATTTTTTTTGAATTGTACAAACGACCCTAGATAGAAAAACAACTAAAACCAAAGTTATAGATCTCGATGAGATATACAACTTTGTAGTTGACAACTATTTCATTAGAAATCATTTATAGTCTCAAATTTGTATCTGAAGTTTTAAAATTTTAAAAAACCAAAATTTTTAAACAACCTTAGATGGAAAATCGACCAAAACCAAAGTTATAGATCTCGATGAGAACAACCTTGTAGTTGATGAGTTTTTCATTTGAAATCATTTGAGGTCCCAAAAGTCCGGCTAAAGTTTTGTCGTTCTGAAATTCAAATTTGTTAAACGACCTCGGGTGGCGAAACAACAAAAATCAAAGTTGTAGATCTCGATTAGAACAATAAATTTGTAGTTTGACTTTTTCATCTGAAGCCGTTTAGGGTTCTAAATATTCATTTTAAATCCTAAAAAGTAAATACTAGGAGAATAGATATGCTATACTGACACAAGTGACTTAGATGTGGAGTGGTTAGAGGAGAGTGGTTAGAGGAGCAAAGAACAAAGGTCTCAGGTTCGAATCACAGCACCACATACCATGGAAAATAGCATGGAGTTAGAGCTGGAGCAACTTCCCGGTACCATGAAGCTGGAGCTAGTAAGGGCTTCCCAGGATTGAAATGATTTTTTTGCTATTTTTGGAAATTTTTGAAAATTCAAATCACTGCTGACAGCTTGCTGCCGAGACCGAAAAATGCTAGTGATGGGCTTCACGAACCGCTTGTGGTTGGTCGATCTGTAGTAGTGTATGCAAAGTTTTAAAAAGTTCAAAATTTTAGTGATTTTTAAACTAGATCAAATTTTAGGGTGTTACAACGGCTGGTGTTATCAGCCGCTGTTGGTGTAAATTAATGCACACAGAATAATCCACAAGCGCATGGATATTATACTGATGTAGCACTTCACTGGGAATACCCAATTTTATATCGAACTCGAGAAAATGTGTGAGAATGACTAAATCTAACTTAACACAACTTCACAATCAAGGTTAGATAATAAGAGTGTAGAGGAGACTGCTAAGGTCTTCTAGTTCTAATTTCGGTAAACTTTGTCTTCTATTGTTCAATTCTAGGGATATTACTAGAGAAAACACGGGCAGAGTATGTTTCCTATAGGAACAAGGTCCTACTAGACCTCCTAACAGGAGGTGGACTATAGAGGATTCAACGAGGCTATAAAAGTCACCGTCGCGGGCTACCACCGATCTGAAAAATAGGGTACATTCACGAGTAACCGAGTCTAAACACCACGCTTACACTACGAATACTACTTTTACCCAGGAGCTGTTCAGGTCCACAGTACTGTTCACAAGAGTGGGTAGTGCCACAGGTCCTGCGACTCAGCTGCCATTCAAGTCATTGCCAAGTCTAGAATAATTAAGAAAGTTCTAGAGCCTAGTTGGTTAGGAAGTCTTATCTTTTGAACAGTATCAAAGGCATCACCTAGGCATCAAGGCGTACCCAGCTCGCCTTGGGAATCAGTGGCCACTGGGTGATAAGGTGGCGGTGGCGCCACCTACCGGGGAAGTGGTGGACGGCCAATGGATATGGTCGGGACATGGTCAACAACGATGGCAGTAGTGGCAGGCAGCATAGAGAGGCTGCCATAGGCAGGGCAGAGGCAGGATTAGAAGGATGCGAGGGAGAGGAGAGCGGTTGGAAGTGTCTGGCAGCAGAGGTGGTATTCAGAGGAAGAACTCAAGAAAGAATGGAAGACAGCAATGGACGTTGGATTCCAATCAGACAACCCAAAAATTGTGCATTTCCAGCCACTGAATCACTCAATGAGCTATAGACAAGCCGTTAAAAGTACTAAGGTAGTCTATGATTTTGCCTTTTTTTGCCCCTAGAAAAACTCTATTGTCCTAATGATCAATTTCTATTCACAAGATCATTTAGTACAATGCCCTAGAGTACACACAGCATTCAAGAGAACTAACAAACCTGATCAAGGCTTTGAATGAGGGTAACAACATCTTTTGTTGGTGTGCCATGGTCCTTGGTTATGCAAAATCCTAGACAGACATATATTTAAGAACAAGAGCACAACCCTTCCAGAAAATTTAATACAGTTAAGTCAACAAGTCTAAACCTGATGACCTATGTTTATCAGATGGTAGTTATCGCCCTCTGCTATTGTGTTTGTGTTTTCTCAAAATTCGATTATACTTCTAGAAACTAAGAGTGTTGCCTTGTAACTTTACCACATTGGCACATGTGAATCCCACGCTACATGCACAAATGTAAGACCGAAATTCCAAGCTACACATCTGCAGAAGCATTCATACCTGCACTCCATGGTTCAACATCCTATGCTCCAAGCTATATGTGACATCATTTGTTTCTTCTGATCTCTGGTTTGTTATCCACACCACTTGCGAGCCAACATGTCTCAGAAGAAATGCCAATTCCATCAGTAAAAGTGGGCCACCTGCATCAGTTAGGAGTATTTCCACTAAGACTGATTGGTCATTAAAATGGATGCCAGCAACAAACAAACGATGCTTTAGGTTTTGGAGATCCTTTCAACAGATACCATTTCAGAACTCGAATACTCCAACTTAGGAGCAACATGAACATTGTTAAGTACTCAACAACTTCTGAGTATATGCTACGAGTAATCAGATAACTATTTCTGCTAGCATAACATCACTCTGATTGTCATCAATTTCTAGCTTTCCCAGAAATCTTCTCATATTCACCACTGGAAGTACAAATCTCACTCCATCTCTGTTTGGTTTCTCGGTAACTTAAATGAAAGATAGTAATTAGAGTTACCAATCACCAGTGCAAATCGCACAGTGCACCCTCACATGTTCCAATAAGCTGCCAATAATGGGACCGCAAGAGATGTACTCAAACCAGCAAATACTAAAATGGCACGGCTCCGGAATGTATGAGCTACGAAGTGAAGCGAACCACTAAGTCTAAGTGAGCAAATTACCCGAGAGGGAGAGCTCGTGGGAGACGAGGAGCACGAGTTTGGACCTCATGAACCCGAGGAGACTCCCCGCGGCGGAGGGGTCTCGCAGGGCACCACGGAGGAGGAACCCCGCTGTGGATGCGGACGCGACGACGGCCACGAGGAGGACGAGGAGGAGCCGAGTCCGGTTGTGAACCGGGCCGCGGCCTCCGGCGGTCGCCGCCGCCGCCACGGACGACGGGGGCTTCACCATCGCCGGGCGGACACACCGGGCCCGAGTAGAGACTGTGTGCTCAGATGTCAGATCAAATCAAAGGGGGGAATGCATTGGCGAGCCCAATTGGGTGCTTCTTTCTCCAGCTGTGTTTTTCTCTTTTCTCCCGCGTCCGCCTGTTTTCGCGCATCCCATCACATGGACCCACGTTGTTTCCCACATCTGCCATCACGCTTGCTCTATTTCCTGGATGACTATCACACCCGCACGTGGGAAACTCGCGTGGATCCCAGTCACCTGTCCCACCTGCGGAGGCGTATGCAGCCCTGGCCCCCTACACAGTGACGCCCCAGCAGCAGCGACAGGCGTCTTGCAATAGGTGGGTTTCGTTACAACATATATAACATCATAATATATTTTTGTGACATCTAAATAAAAACGCTTGCAACATATGTCTGAAACACTTACCACATACGTCTAGAAACACCTGAAAAATATTTGAAATCCATTGCAAAAACATATACAACATCCATATCTAATTTTGCAACATCCAGATAAAACACTTACAACATACGTACAAAACACTTGAAACATACGCTTACAATAGGCATGTTATGTAATATTCAGATATACTTTTGCAACATCTAGATGAAACACTTGAAACATACATTTGAAATACTTAACATATGTTTGCAATATGAAATATACGCTTGCAACATGCGTATATAGCCATTGCAACATACGCAATATCCAAATAAAAACACTTGAACACTTACATTTCAAACACCTAAAACACGACATCGTCCGTTGTTGGTATAAATTAATACACACAGAATAATCCGCAAGCGCACGGATATTATACCGATGTAGCACTTCATCGGGAGTACCCTGTTTTATATCGAACTCGAGGAAACGTGTGTGAGAATAACTAAATCTAACTTATCCCTACTTCACAATCAAGGCTAGATAATAGGAGCGTAGAGGAGACTGCTAAGGTCTTCTAGTTCTAACTTCGGTAAGCTTTGTCTTCTATTGTTTAATTCTAGGGATATTACTAGAGAAAACACAGGCAGAGTATGTTTCCTATAGCAACAATATCCTGCTAGGCCGACAAAGGATTCAATGAGGCTATAAGGGTCACCCTCGCGAGCTACCACCGATCCGAAAAATAGGGTACATCCATGAGTAACCGAGTCTAAACACCATGCTTACACTACAAATACTGCTTTAACCCAGGAGCTACAAGGATAAAAGTACTCAAAAGAGAGTCGCAAACCTAAAGAACAATATAAACAAGATGCTTACTTGAATTAGAAGTCGATTACTAGAGAAATCTCAGAAGCAAGCTCAAAAAGAACTTGATTTCGTTAGGGTACAAGTCGTAGAGAGAGCACCGATAGGCCGGGACTCCTCCAAACTCTTCCCTCACACTCTATCTCTCTGGGGCTTGTCTTCTTGTGCTCATGCCTTGGCTAGCGTCGCAAGCTAGGCAAGATCCAAGGCCCAAGCTCGGGTGTGTCGTCGATCGGGAGCCAAAGGCCCGGGCAAGCCCCCAAGCCCTATGCGAGGGTTGTGCTATGCCTAGGCTCGGTCAGGTTTCTTGGTCAAAGGGTGCACAAGAGCGTACCTAGTGGGTATAGCCCTCGAGCCCCCGGGCGATCCTGGTAGGGTCGATCGGGGGTCCCTTCGATTGAGAACCATTGATCCCAAGGCTTAACATACCCATATGTTAGGATCTGATCACCATACCCAACAACGATGTTGTGGACTACGCCGTTGAGATTGTGTTCAATGTCCAAGATCAATTGGCATAGTGCACTGCATGGCCGGACGATACTCTTTAAATAACCGGGAAACAAGTTTGACACAATAACTCCTCAATCAAATTCCACAAAAAACTCCTCAATCAACGTACGTCGTGCTGCTGCGCCTCTTTAGTCCTCCTGCTCGCTGCCGTCCACACGCCATACCTCCATCCATGCCGACAATCATGGCAGTGAGGCGGCACCCCACATCACTGATGGCGCTCCCTACCGAGGTGCAAATTGAGATCACCGGCCACCTCACTGCGACCTCAAAGCAGCCCAAGGATGACCTCCATAGCCTATGGGCAACGTGCTCGTCCATGCGCCGCATCTACGATGACCCCACATCGGTCGGTGTGTGGCAGTGGATTGGTGCAGACGTGGGGCGAGGTCATCGAACGACTGCTTCAACTACTTCACCCTCCTTGCTAGACTGACCCAAGTCGACAACCTAGAGCCTTGCTTGCTCACTGGGATACAAATCGTATTCATGGAAAACCATAGCCCCTGGCCATCCCTCGACTATCTCACCCGCACCGCCGTTGGCGGGCATAATATGGCGGCCTATCTGGTCGCCATATTCCTCTATAGGCACAATGGCGATGCCGGCGACGACGACAACACTAGAAGGCGGTACATAAGATGGGTCGATGGCGAGGAAGAATCACGGGCGGCGACGGTGGACCAATGAGTAGGTGGCTAAGCAACAAGGGGCGTCAGTTGTGCCATGAGGCAGCCGCGAACATGATCCACGAAATGACGTGTTTGCGCAACAAGTGGCCACCTCCGTCGCCGGCACAGGTGCGCGGTGATCTTCTGTGCGCAGGCGGCTACTGCGGTGTTCCAAAAGGATGGGAAGAAAGGACTCTGTTTTGTAGCGAGGACTATAGGCTTTGCACGAAATTATTTTGTTTGAAAAGGCAATTGGAATAGGAAACTAATTCACTCTTTACATGCGAGAGTGAATTAGTTAGCTTTTGATTTTCTGTTGCAAGAGTGAATAGAAAACTACTCTATAATTCAATATAAGTGTTCTACTACAGTGCTTCTTCCTTCTTCATTGTCTCGTGATCCTTCTTAACTTGTACCTCCTATCTGAGGACGCGGGCATCTAGGCTATGTAAAACTAACGCTGAATCGCCGTATGAAACGGCGACGGGAGCTGTCACACCACTGTACTCTTCGCACCAGAGAAATAATCCAATTTGCAAACACAACAAAGATCGCACACTAGTTTAGCTATAATAATGACAACATCCATCCTAGAGGAAATGAACATGTCCATAGACAATCAAACAACATTGGTCCATGTAAACATGTCGTCATAGAGAGATACGCCAAATATACAACTTAATTTACTGCTCTCCTAATGACTCCGAGAACAAGGGAACATAAGAAAGATAGTATGGTCTACTCATGTCCTCTTTCATGACCCTAAATCTACGATACTGAATGAAAACGGCAGGGATGACATGAACTTTTCTGTGGTCCATGTCATATGCGATGATGGTTCTTTCTTCCTCAACTAAAAAAATAATATTCCATTCTGGGTGAATTGCAATTGTTGTGTAGTCCGCATCACAATCCAGGAAACCAAATTGAATATCAGTCTTTCCAAACACATTCAGCGTGCTGACAGTATGCTTCAATGTCTATTCATTAGTACCATAGTCTTCAAGGATCTAGATTGAAAGTTAGGACATATTGCGACCACCAACAGTACATACACACAAGTGACCCTGAGCTTGATGGATGGAGGGTTGAGCACCACTAGGCCTACGAATTCTCCTACATGTGTTTCTCTTTATATCAACAACAAGTATCTAAGAGTACCCATCTGAGTACCCCATAATGTGCAGAAAACCATTAAGAGATACACTTGTTGATCTAAAACATGTCACATCAGTACCCTGGCCCCATTGAGATTGCTTATAGATCCATGCTGTAGTTTGAGATGAGTAGATCTCCGCACCTACGTACTCACCCTCCTCCTCCACATATTGAAGCACATGGAAGTGCGAGGAGGCTGTCAGATCAAACACCAAGCGAGCCTCACAACCCTTATGGATGCTAGGCGGCAGTACCTTAAACTTTTGGGTTGTAGGATTGTAGACGACATAGCGGTATATAGCAGTAGCCCCAAGGATGAGGCCATTGCAGTAATCTGAGACAGCTACATTGTTAAATAGGAAGGGCAAGAAGGATAAGTCAGGGCGTTCACCAGTGATGCTTGTGAAGTTTTGATTGCCATTTTTGGTGTCATAGAAGCCGACCATAATCAAGGGCAGCACCTTACGGTTGTCAGAGATGAGGCGCTTCTAGAAGCGATAGACACATTTGCAGTAGCACAAGGAGCGGGCCAGGAGGCAACAGAGAATGTCAAGAAGGAGATCGTCTGTGAGGCTGGCCACTACGTTCCTCTGGTTGAGGGCCTCCTCCATTTTGAAGAGCCTCTGATCGTCAGTGTGCAGCAGGATGAGAGCTTCCTTACTAACAAGATCTAAAGAGGAAAATAATCCGATAAAGATCTATCAGTCAAGTGCGAAAGCATACCCTTGCCTTTGGATTTGGCGGCGGCGCGGTGCGAGGCGTGCAATAGTTCACACAAATTGCAAGAGGAACAATGCACTAGCTGTGCGGGAGGTGGTGGCGGCGCAGCGCGAGGCGTGCAATGGTTTGCATAAATTGCGAGAGAGGAACAATGCGCCAACCTTGAAGATGGAGAAGTGGAAGTATATAGGGAGTAATGGTGATGCAACTATATTATGGGTAGTTGGGAAATAACTCACGCTGAAGTTACTACCGCCGGTATACCAAACGGTCGTATAGGGTCGGCAGCCATAACGCCTATCCCAGTCGGTTCAGCTTTTTATACGATGGAGAAAATATCACTGTCGCATCTATTGTTAATCTGTGGGTGGTAGAAGTTTTAACTACCGGTTTCCTTCCTTAGGAGGCCTTGCTATCGGTCCAACCGGTGGTGGAAGTATAACACAGTCGCTTCTATCGCTACGGTAGTGAAAGTGGCGACACTGATATATCAATATGTAATAGTGGTAGTATGGAGTGAGATGGATTTAATTATGTCTAATGGAACTTAGGAAGTTGTTGAACGTCCTTATGGGTGTAAACCTATAGGATGCAAATGGGTATTAAAAAAAAGCTTAGACCTAATGGTACAATTAAGAAGTACAAGGCAAGGCTTGTGGCCAAGGGTTATACCCAGAAAGAAGGTGAAGATTTATTCGATACTTATTCACCTGTTGCTCGATTGACTATAATTCGAGTGTTACTTTCCCTAGCAGCCTCACATGGTCTTCTCGTTCATCAGATGGACCTTAAGACAGCTTTCCTAAATGGAGAGTTAAAGGAGGAGATCTATATGGATTAGCCAGATGGATTTATAGCAAATGGTCACAAAGGCATGGTGTGTAAATTATTGAAGTCCTTATATGGCTTGAAACAAGCTCCTAAGCAATGGCATGAGAAGTTCGACAGAACTTTGACATCTCCCGGCTTTGTTGTGAATGAAGCTGACAAATGTGTACTATCGGTATGATGGGGGCAAAGGTGTGATCTTGTGTTTGTACGTTGATAACATACTGATCTTTGGAACTAGCCTTGATGTGATTAAGGGGGTTAAATAATTTTTATCTAATAATTTTGAGATGAAAGATTTGGGAGAGGCTGATGTTATTCTTTATCAAGCTGTTAAGATAAGTCAATGGTGGGGTTACACTTCTACAATCCCACTATATGAAAAAGGTTTTAAGTCACTTAGGGTTTAGTGACTGTCAGTCTGCTCCTATGCCTTATGACCCTAGCGTGCCATTGAGGAAAAATTAGAGAATAGCAAGAGATCAATTGAGATACTCAAAAATTATTGGTTCGCTTATGTATTTGGCTAGTGCTACAAGGCCTGATATCTTGTTTGTTGTGAGCAAACTAAGCTGGTTTGTGTTAAATCTGGGAGATAGTCATTGGCATGCTCTTGAGAGAGTAATGTGTACTAGAGGGTTATTGTGATGCAAACTGGATATCTGATGCTGATGAGGTTCACGCCACAAGTGGATATGTGTTTCTCCTTGGAGGTGGCGCTATTTCATGAAAGTCTTACAAGTAGACCATCTTAACGAGGTCAACCATGGAAGCAGAACTTACAGCATTAGACACCGCCGGCGTTGAGGCCGAGTGGCTTTGTGAACTCCTTATGGATTTATTGGCAGTAGAAAAACCTATACGGGCTATTTCTATGAACTGTGATAATTAAGGTAAACAGTTCTAAAGATAATATGAAGTTCACAAGGCATGTTAAGAGGCGGCTAAAATCTATCAGAAAATTGAGAAACTCCGGAGTTATAGTATTGGACTATATCCATACGTCTAAAAATCTGGCAGATCAATTCACTAAGGGACTATCACGTAATGTAATAGATAGTGCATCGAGTGAGATGGGCCTGAGACCCACATAAAGTCTACCATGGTGGTAACATGTTCTATGTGATCGGAGAGGTGAAATAGGATGGTGAAACAAGCTAGGGATAGACTATGAGAAAAGACCCTTAACTAGGCTCATATCAGATGCACGTCTTTCCTTTGCTGTAAGGCAGATTAGTTTTTACCTTAATGTATTCTAAGTGGCTTGCTTAAGCAAAGATGTTGTCCTACAGAACATTTTTTGAGGAATACACCTATATAAGTTCAACTGCTAGTTATAATCTATGAGATTTGGATGGTCTTTAGATACTCATGAAAGGTCCACTAGTATGACTTATATACTCCAACCAGAGAGGATGCTTTAGGCAACCTAGTATTAGTAAAGGACTTAGGTGAAACTTATTTCGTACAAAACTATCAATTCAAGGCATAGTCTATTATTCAGTTGGGAAGAAGTATAACCTCTATTCTAGATGGATGTTCAACTTAACAGTCACCATCGAAACACTGGTATGTCAAACAATAGAGAATTGAGAGCATTTTATATGCGCCATAGAATTTGATGGGGATGGTTAGATTTAATGTGGGCGACTCATATTTTTTTAATAATTAAATCAAATAAATTCTAAGGCTATATTAGATGCTAGGTGCATTAAAATGGTGGACTGAATGTAGTTGATGGCTGAACTTGTAATTGTCATGTTTATAGCTGTGGTTACTAGTAACTCATATGATTATGGCTCCAGTTAATAGTAGCTTCCATGGTTATGGCTAGAGTTACCGGTAACTCCCATGTTCATAGCAGCGGTTACTAGTAATTCATGAGCATTTCATGATGTCCAGATCCACCCCTCTACATTTCACCTTCCACCTTCTGCGACTATAAGAAAGGTGCGCTCACCTTCAGCCGCAGATGATGAGGCACAACACATCTAGCACCATCGTTCTTCTATTGAGTTGCTCTCGAGTTTCCCGTCCCAATCCTCTGCGCACACCGAGTGTTAGGAGAGTAGGCCTCCGAAACCACCGTCCACATAGCGACACCTGCTCGGGTGTGCGGGCAATTAGGTTTTTGGGGAGCGTCTCCGCGACTGCTCGCTTCTTCCTGGTGACTGCCGATATCTTCTTCCTTGGATCGTCTACTTCCGGTTGGCCATTCGAGACTGCACTGCGAATATCGTCCTGCATCGACTGTGGTCCGCGACATCGAGCAACGCACTATGTCAATAGTGCGTGTGGAGCCGCTGGATGCCTTGAGCATGGGTCCCTCTGCTAGGTATAATTCTATTCTTGAATTTCTTAAATTCAATATCTTTTCCGCTATGATCTGTATGTCATTCATGTTCATATCTGCTACTAGTGCAAGTAGTAATATCACTCACGTGCACATACATATTGTCACCAATTTACTATGGATTTTCTGGATTAAATTAAACATGAAAATATCTAAATTCCTAACAGCTCTACCTTTGCTATTGCTAAGTGCCAGTAACAATGGAATTAACCTCCTGCGGATCCTCTCTGCTCATTGGGATCATCCAATATGGCTCTCCCCACATCTGCTCAACTTGGCTGCCTCCGAGCCGACACTCCAGCGTCCCTCCCACTTCCGGCCTATCCAAGTGAAACTCTTCGACGTTGTACACGACAACGCGGCGCCCTTGCGGGTCTTCCACCGGTGTAGCACTGATCGTGTACACGCAGTTCCTCTTTATCCCGGCGGCGGTGTCCTCACCGCCTACGCCCACCGAGAAGCCATGGAGCCTGTCAACGAACAGCGCGCGGTCGCCGATGTCGGTCACCTTGGACCACTCCGGCGTTGGTTTCTTGTGCCTGGCCCGGTACACCTCGGAGAACAGCTCACAATACATGTCCCTTGCGCGGTGGACAAGCAAGAAGACGTCGTCTGTGGAGGCGACCAGGTGGACGCAGTCGACGGCGTCGTCGTAGTCGCCACGCGGCGGCCAGATATCCGCGACCTTGTCGAGGGTCCTCGCGTCAATGACCGTGGTGACCAGAGTGCGCTGTTGGAGGACGAAGAAGAAGCCGCCGCGATAATTCACGGTCATGCCCGACGAGATTGTCGACCGGTACAGTGTCGTCCACTCGCCGCCGCCCGCCGCCGCCACCTCCCTCGCAGAAAAACACCGTGTCGCCCCGCGCGATCATGACGCCGCGCGGCGACCGGTCCCACGCGAAGCCGTCGTCCGTGGGCGGCACCGCGCGGCGGCGGCCCTGCACGCGCGGCGCCTCGGGCTCGCACACCGACGATGGCTCCTTGTACCAGAGTGGGACGGGCAGGTCCGGGAGCGGCCTGGACTCGCCGGTGAACGGATCGACGAGGCGGGACGGGTGCCTGAAAGACGTCAGGTCCGTGGCGAGCAGAGCCCCTCCGTACGGGGACGGCACGATCCGGCGCCCAGTGACCGGGCGCAGCCGGACGCCGTCGCGCAAGCGGTCCTCGGCGAGGGAGAAGACCATGTACCCGTGCTGCGACGGGAACGCGACGCACGGGAGGGTCGTCTCCTTGTCCTCCGCCGGTGGATCCTGCAGCGCCTCGGCGGCGGCGGTGATACGTGAGCTTGATGACGCGTACGATGACGATGATAATGATTCGTTCTCGTTGTCCCTATTGGGAGAGAGCATCAGGAGGGCAGAGCTGAAGCCAGCATAGTCGGAAAACCTACAAGCCTCTGCAAGCTCAACGTCGTGGTGCGGCGGCGCCATTATCGCCGATGGCGAGAATCCGCAGGCGAATCTGCTCAGCTTATCTGACAATCTTGTCAACATGCTCGCGTGCATATTGCCAGCCCAACTCGTGCTTGCCATGGCGGCCGCGTTGTATGGTTCTTCACGTGAGGAAAGAGGGATCATTGTAATGTTTGTCATAATAACATATCAGCTTGACTTTTGTTTTAATTAACATATCAGCTTGACTTTAAAGGAATCCAATTAGGATTGATCTGCATATTTTTGACGAACACAATCAGAACTACTACGGATTTGTTTCCTTCGCTGCTACATACATGTTCGTACATGACCCGGGCACCCGGCCGGTCTCATCGGAACCGCAAGGTTACTATAGACCTGAAAAAACAGTTTATGATGATTTGATAATTCATGTGTCTCCTAAAGTATAGGAAAAAATATACAATTATGTGGCTCCTGCCTAGCTACGAGAACAGAGTCAATCCAATCACTTTGTACAGAAGTGTTATAAACAAGAGTACACACATTAAAAAAAAACAAAGGTTTTTTAGGGCAAAAAAAATGCCGTGTGGATACATGAACATTGTGCGGATTATTTATGGAACAATAAAATACGTGCAGACCCCCCAAAAAAAGAAACAAGAAAAATTGGATATACAAGGTCTAGAACAAGGAACAGGAACTGCTAGGAATAGGAACTGCCCAAGGAAGACAAGGGCCCAAGATACTGATGGAGATGACAGTGAAGAACAAGATCAGCATGTAAAATCTGATTCAGCAACAACGGCTCAAGATATTGATGAGGGAGATGACAGTAAGAACCAAGATCAGCATGTAGAACAGCATGTAAATATTTTCCTGAATAGAATTAGAAACATGAGAAGTGAATCATTAGCAAACAAGATATTTCAGATTTCACTAGGTCGCTGCGAAAGAACCAAACATGACTAAAAACTAGAGTACCAACTGTACTTGGGTTTGGAATTGAAGTTTATATTTGATAATGTATGATCAGAATATCAAATGTGCAAATTATATCTAGAGGTACTAAACATGGTACTCCATACGTTCCAAATTATAAGTAGTTTTGGCTTCTCTACATACATATGCTTTACTACATATCTAGAAAGCTATGTATCTAGAAAAAACAGAACGACTTATAGTTTGGAATGGAGGGAGTACCATTCAAAGTTTCATAGCACAAAATGCGAAATTCCCACCCTACTTGTTACCCTAAGAAACTTCATGATGCATGATATAATTATGTTTAATTGGTAAGTAAGATGTCTTCTAGAGAAAACAGAGATACAGTTCAAATATCTTGGTTGTGCATTCCCACAAGTAATGTGGCACAGGAATTAAGACTGAAATATTGTTGGATATCACAAACTGAAGTGACATCAATGCATCCCCAAAAGGAAACCTTGCACATCTGATGCTCATGCTAGCCAAGACAACCTGGTAGATGTCAGCCACGTGGAATCGTGCAGTATACTGCTTAGATTCTCGCAACTTTTGTCTCTGTGACAAAGATTTGCCCTTGGCTAAGGTGTCCAAAGCACTGCAGTAAACAGGGTCGAGTCATTGGAATATAAGAAAAGAACTATGAAACAAAGGATTTCACACAACAGTCATCAAGGTACTACAACAGTCTCCAATAATATATTCCTTATGTCATAATCTATTCTATTATTTGGCCTGGCATTATTATAGATATGTTTCAGTTTTCATAAGCTTTACACAGTGCTACTAATCAGCATGCCAACAAATGTTCCATTTTTGGTCAAACTGAATTAGTAGAAATTAAAATGGTGAAATGGAATGAAATTTCAGCAGGTCAAAACCTTCTTCCAGGCCCATATATTCCACCTAAACGGAATATAAAAGCTGACAGATTTGGATCATCAATAAGATTCAGCCATCCTTTTTCTGCATTATATCTTAACCTATGCAGCACGGATCCGGATACGCGTATCGGCATCGGAAGGATACGGATACGCGGATACGGCAATTTCCTAAAAAACCCGATACACGGATACGTTTTACTATTTTTTAAATAAAAATAGATAATAGCGCATATTAAAATTGTGAAAGACTGAAAGTAGTAAATTACCTTGCAATAGCAATTGCCAGCCAAAGCAAAGACCGGAACTCCGGAAGCATCTCCATTCTTCAATTGTCCATTCTCGAGTTCTCCAAGACTCCAAGTCCAGAATTTGCACAGAAAAACGAACTATCAATCAATTTATTACTAAAACTTGAGTATTCAGTAATCAGTAGTAGTTCAGTACATCACCTTCTACTACTAGTGTACTGAAGTCTGAACTCTGAAGTAGACATGAGAGGAGAGGACAAAGGAGTACTGTTATTTAAAACTGATAACAATAAAACATTAAAACATTGCAATTAACCACTTAAGTGTACTATTATTACAACACAGCAAGTTCCTATTCCTCATTTGTTTCATTGTCATCCACAACATGAACCTACAGATCATCCAAACCAAAAGACACAGCTTGCAATTCAGGTTCATCAAGGGACAGGTCAGCCACTTCAAGAATGCCAATACCACCAAGTGAATCAAAAGAACCCCCTCCTACATCCCACATCCTTGTCTCTCCTGTCTTGTATGCATCAGTTCTTCTGGACAGATGCCTCAGATTTGAGTGCACAAAGACCAAATCTTCAGCACGCTCTGGAGTTAAGGCATTTCTCTTGACACTATGGACAAAGCTATAGGTGCTCCAGTTTCTTTCACAGCAAGAAGATGAAGCTGGTTGGCTAAGCAATTTCATGGCCAAACTCATCAATAAGGGAGTAGATTGTCCATGATTTGTTCACCAAGTCATAGGGGAAACAACCCATCTATCATGGATTGAGTCAGGATCATTAAATTCTTCTGAACAACTAGAGAACCTTGAGTACTCTTCTTTTACTTTAGCCAATTCTTCTGGCATGGGAAAGAACTTCTTAAAGCAAACCATCCTCATTTTCGATACCTCTTTATCCTTGTGGGGTGGTTCACGGCCAACACCTTCGTCAAGCCACTTTTTGCTATAATATCTGCAATTTGGCATTATGATTTTAGTGAATGGAAAAAATCTGAATGACACAAGTGAATGGAAAAAATTTGAATGGCAGTTTGTAGTTTTGTACCTTGGATTAAGTGAATGAGCTAAACAATGAAGTGGATTATTTCCTTTTGTCCACCTAGCAATCAATATGTCATAAATAACCGAGTACAGACTTGACTCCTCATCTTCTTGCTTGCCCTCATATCAATATATGACTTTCTTCACTTTCTCTATCATTGAATCGCACATCTCATAAACTAAGTGAAGGCATGGTGTGTCAGTGTCTGTCATACGAATCATTTCATATATAGGAGTAGTAATCCTAAGAATGTAGTCCACTTTGTCCCACCATACATCACTAAGTATCAAGTCCTTGATAATTTGAGCTGTTGGAGTTGGAGAATCATCTCTGACTTCTCTGTACACACTCCATTTGTCACTAATCACCATTTGTTGGAGGGCTGTTTTTACCTCAACAAACCGCTTCAACATACATACAACAGAGGCAAATCTAGTTTCAGCAATAGAAAGTAACTTCAAACGGCTGAACTCATTGAACATTGAAAGCCGCATGCCATGATTCATTATGAAATTCTTTATCATAGCAGCCTCAGTTTTAACATCATGTATAAATTCAAGTTCCCCCCAAGCAAATATTTCTTCATCAGAAGGTTGTTTCCTATTTTAGGTTCACATATACTTTTCATAGCAAGATTGAGGGTATGCACAACACATGGTGTCCAAAATATGTTATCATACTCAGATTCTATTGTGAGACCAGCACCTTTGCAATTTGCAGCATTGTTTGTAATGATTTGTACTACATTATGTCGACCTACTTCTTCAATTATACCCCTCAACTTCTCAGCAATGTATTCTTTTGATTTGTACTGACCTTCACAATTATCAGCCCTCAAGAACATAGGTGCCTTGTCAAAAACAACAACAAAATTGATGATTGGTCGCCTCGAGGATCGACCAACCATCGAGGCAGATTGTGACTCCTTCTCTCTTCCCATGTGCTCCTTGTGCTCTCCAACAAAGTCTCTATGTGCCTCCTTTCTTGCTTGAAGTCCCTCCCTAACTCTGTTGTAACCGGAATCACATAACCTTGCATATTGCGGTGCGCAAGCAAAGGTAAAGGCTTCTCGAAGATATGGATTTCTCGAAAAATTGAAAGATACCCCTCCGTAATAAATTGCTCTACTAAGCATCCAAGTGCTTACGGTCTTCCAATGCCCAAGCTTTTTTCCAATGCGAAACAGGCCCCTCTTGTTCCTCTTGTTGTTGTCACAAGATGTTGCTTGAGGAAGGAGCAATAGGCAAAGCAAATTCTTGACTTGGACCTTTCCACGATTCTTGCACCTTTCAATTTCCTTCCTCATTTCACTAAGCATTTCATATGTAACATTAGGACATTTACCTATTCCCCTCCTCCTTACTCGCAAAAAATAAGCTTCAACTCTACTAGTGTAACTACTCGGTTTTTGCATTGGACCGAGACTTGCAAATACCACATAGCATTTCCTCCACCAGGTTTTAGGCTTCTCGAGAATTGTTACATGATCCCAAAGTGGAGCCTTGATGTATGTTGTGTTTGTGGCTGCTGCAGATCCTCGCTACCACTAGCACTTGCACTAGCACTTTGCTCAAATTTGGAGACGCCATCTCACGCATACAAGCAACAAGAACTCACTAACTGCACTGCAGAAATAGAAGACGAAAGGAGGAAGGGGAAGACGAAGCGGGGTTGCGGCGTGGGGAGCAAAGAAATCAAGCAACAACCGGCTACGAACTGAAGAAGAAGAGGAGATCGACAACAGGGAAGGGGATTAACTCACAGGATCCACGTCGCAGGGCGGAAACTCGTCGTTGGCGGCCGGCGAGTAGGGACGGAGGCTCGTCGCCGGCGAGATGAGGTGGAGGCTCGTCGCTGGCGGCCGGCCGAAGTAGGAGACGGAGGCTCGTCGCCGAGCGGCGGCGAGGCGGAGGCGAGAGGCTCGCCGCCGTTAGCGGCATGCGACCGGCGATGGGTTGCGCTTTCATCACTGCGGGATCTGGCTCGCCGTCGCAGTACGTGACCGTCTTGGGATCAAGCGACATCGAACGCTAGGGCGTCGGGGCAGAGGGATAAGGTTACATGCTGCTGGGCTTCTTCTGGGTCAGGCCATATCGGCAGCCGCGAGCACTCGTGTCGGATGGCGTATCCAATTTGCACGAAAATAATAAAAAAGCGGATACTCCGAGGATACATATCCTGTGCGTATCGGACACGTATCCATATCCGATACGTATCGGATACGTGGCTTTAGGGACGTATCCGTGTAACATAGATCTTAACTTGGCAGACTCGCTCTTTGGGTTTACTGTATGACTGCATGCACAGCAGTGTATTTAGCTTTCTATTATAATGTACTTCTGGACAAGAAAAGAGCTTTCTAAGGAAAATCTCTTATATGGTGGACAAGAAAAGCCCCTTACTCCTCATCAACCAATATACCACCACAATCACCATACACACCTGAAAGTAATTTAGTGTTACAAAGTAGCTTTCTAAGGAAAATCTCTTATATGGTGCACTGCACACAGCATGCTTTGTTATTACCCTTGACTCAGCTTCAATGTTTGACAACTTCAAATTAAGTGCATGACAAGAGAAAAAGAAACATATTCATTGAGTAATGTGTCAACTGCAATAGCTGCCCTGTGCAAATCACCCACAGATCTCCAAATGCAGTGCTAGCCACAAAAAGCTTGTAAATATACTTCATGCCAGTTTGTTGTATAGTTAATGGCTAACATGATATAAGCAGAAGAATGGAAGAAACACTCTGCTCAATTTGATGTTACTCCACATATAATATGTTGGCAACTAAATAAGATTTATATGAGGGGTCTATCCCCATGTTTGGATGTTTGTGTGTATTAGATAGTGAAATTTCAAGTCTCTGCATCACAACTGTTCAGAGAAGATATTTGTTTGTCTTCCCCGCTATTTGAGCCTGCTAGTTTTCATAGGAAACGTCAATTTCTAATGATACTGCAAGAATAAGAAAATCCCCCCCCCCCTCCCCCTCAGGTCTTGGGTTCAACTCCCTATGGAAGTGAATTTAAAAAGGCCTGGGTTAAAATACACCCCTAAGTAGCTGTGTTCCTGAGTTATACGTGTAACCATCTGAATCGGTTTTAGCGAGATACACTTGTCCGCAGCATGTCCAGGGCAGCTGGTCTTTGGGGTGTTTCTCGGCCTGCAGGTGAGAAGCTTCTTCTTAGTGCAACGCCGTTGGGGTGGTCCTTTTCTTTAATATTGCAGATTTTAGCTTATGAACAAAATATTGACATATTTAGTGTGGAAATTCCCGACTGATTTCAGCAATTCTCTTGACTAACCCCAATAAAACTTGACAATTTTGAGCAGCAGGTGAGCAACTTCACCCTGACAACCCTGAAATCCCCAACCCCAAGTAGCATATGATTTACAAATAATGAACAGGTTAAATGAAAATATCATGCAATTAAAGCTGAATGTGCACAAAATATTTGAGAGCTTACTTATTGACGATTTAGGTTGTTTCTGCTTTCATTATATTTTTTATTCATTATTTAGAAATGTTTCTGGCTGATGAACCATCAATGTTCAAGCACAAACGGGGCAGGCTAGAAACAAGTGCAAGAACGAAAAGGGAACAGGATAAGCAGCACGAATCCACACCTGCTCTCTGTAGCATCGAAAACGGAAGCATTCATGCCCAGCATCTCGAGCTCCCTCTTCTTGGTGACACTGGTGCACGTCCCGGAGACCTGCCTGCAGATTCATCCACCCACTCCCAAATTAGGAATCAGGTTGAGACAGGGAATTCGACATTAGGAAGGAGCGAGCTCGATTTGCGCAGGCGCCGCCCAGCCAGCGAGAAGCAGGGGGTGAGGTGGGCGGGGCAAGAGTGAGGGGGTAACCAACCAGCCCTGCGCGAGGAGGCGCTGCGAGACGTAGTGGCCGACGAAGCCCGCGCCGAACACGAACATGTGCCGAGGCTGAGGTGCCCAGGCCACCGGCACTGCCGCCGCCGTCTTGGGGGCGATTCCTGGAATCATCGTGATTCGCGCTTCTGGCCAGCAAGAAGACTGTGGTGGAAATTAACAGGATCACAAATTCGCAGAATCGCAGTTCAAAATAGCAATCAATTGGTTGAATCCAGTGAATCCACTACAAGAACCTATGTGTGGGTGGTTCTGTTCTCGGTGTAGGCCGCACACGCGGATGAGTCCTGCCAACCTCTCAAGTGAAGACAGAGGCGGAGCTCCACCTACGGCAGGGTACGGCAGCTGCCCCAGCTAGCTGAACTGAAGACCCCACTCCTTTCTTCTCCTTCCAATGGCCTGTGTCTCGTTTGCGGCGGAGATTTTCGTTGTTGGCGTTTGGTGCCTCCAGCACCCGACCGAGGAAGACGACGACGCCTCAGAAATTAGCCTTGATGGACTGGCAGTACTCTGGCCCAGTTGATACTTAGCAACGGCGGCCCAACAGGCAAATCTAGCTCAACATAAGCTCGTGCCATCCCTTTCGGCCTCTCCGTTTGCCTGATCGCGGCAGTGCCCGGCGATTTTTCTTTTGTGCAAATCCTTTTATACGAGTAATAATAAAGAGAATTTCAAACTATCACATTTTGAATTTTTTGTGGAACCAAAATTAAGGACTCCAAAAAAACTTTGTGATTTTCTAAAATATATGCTAAAAATTAAGGGTAACCCATTTTATTTGTATTTGTCATCCTAGCTTTTGCAGTTTTGAGACCAAATTTTTTCTAAAATGCTACTCTCTTTGTCCTAAATTATAGGTTATTTCAACTTTCTTAAACATACAAAGCATCTCAAGTACTTTTTATATATATTTAGTCAAACTTACTCCTTGAGTGCAAGATAAACACTGATTTTGGAACGGAGAAAGTATACTATAGCTGATCCTTTGGACACATTGTCTATGACTATTATGCTATCTTTGAGTGATATGTACGTTTCTTACATATAGTAACTCACTCACCATTAGAAATAAGGGTCAAATCGGTATTACTACTAGCAAAAGAAAAATTCGATGTCTACTGCGTCAATGTCTAGCTCACACGCTATCAAATCAAGTTGCATATATCTGTTATACTACTTATAATAAAAATATATATATGTAGTGGTTTCGTCCAAAGAAAAATCGTGTGCGCGCCCCCACCAACGTTCGCAGCGCTGGTTAAAACGGTTTCTGGGCAAAACCCGTCTCAACCCGTGGCTATCAGACATTACCGGAATCAGGCGATTTGACTCGGCAAAGACTACTTTGTCCTCGACAAAGTCTTTGCCGAGTGCAGCACTTGGCAAAGAGCTTCCGGTAAAAAACTCGTCGGCAAATAATTCTTTGCCGAGTGTTTTTTATTGGGCACTCGGCATAAAAGGCAAGGCACTCGGCAAAGTCTTTGCCGAGCGCCCAACACTCGGTAAAGTTGGAACCGAAAAAAAAACCCGAAAAAAATGGGAAAAAAAATTAATCGATGGAGGCTCCCACCGGCCAGCGCCTGCCCATTTCTGGCATTTTTTGCGTAAATTTTGCAGCAACACGGCTGACGGGATTCGAACCCGCGACCTCCCGCTGCGCGCGAACCTCCTCTACCACTACACCACACTGTCACTTGTTTTTGGATTCCGTATCAGTTCCCAACGTATTATACTAAACCGAGTATAAATTGCTTGTTTGAGGCCCTAAATGAATTCAAATAAAAACGTTGTAAACTACAAAGTTTCATAACTTTTCGAAATCTACTCTTTTAGTTTAGGAAGTTTTTCCATTCGAGGTCGTTTACAAAATTTGAATTTCAAAATTTTGAAATTCAAACGTAGTTTTGCATGACAAGATGATTTCAAATCAAAAAGTTGCCAACTACAATGTTTCATAACTTTTCGAGATCTACAGAGTTTATTTTGGTTGTTTTTCCATCCGAGGTCGTTTGAAAAGTTCGAATTTTAAATTTTTAAAATTCAAACACAGTTTTGCATGACAAGATGATTTCAAATCAAAAAGTTGCCAACTACAATGTTTCATAATTTTTCGAGATCTACAGAGTTTATTTTGGTTGTTTTTCCATCTGAGGTCGTTTGAAAAGTTCGAATTTTAAATTTTTAAAATTCAAACATAATTTTACATGACAAGATGATTTCAAATTAAAAAGTTGTCAATTACAAAGTTTCATAACTTTTCGAGATATACAAAGTTTATTTTGGTTGTTTAGTCATCTGTTCATCCGACATGGTCGTTCTAACATTATTCACAAATGTTATATATCTCTCTTGTAGTTTCATAAACTACAAGAGAGATACGTTAGATTTGTGAACAAATTTACTTTCACTTTGTCATATGAAGAAAAGACCAAAACAAACATTGTACATCTTGATGAGTTATACAACTTTGTAGTTGAAAACTTTTTCATTTGAATTAATTCTATCGCTTCAAAATGTGCTTTGAAATTTTCTTTGCGAGTGTAAAAAACACTTTCGGCAAAGAGCTTTTTTGCCGAGTGTCAAAAAAAATACACTTCGGCAAAGAGCTTTCTTCTTGCGTAAAAAAACACTCGGCAAAGACGTCTTTGCCGAGTGCCCGAAAAACAACACTCGGCAAACCACTTGACACTCGGCAAAGAGCCGGTCTCCGGTAGTGAGAGGGTGTGCACACGGTTGAGCGAGGACGCGTACGCAACAACGAGCCTGGCGGCTGGTGCCACGGAGCGCATCAGGAACATGATCGCGTGCCATGAGCACTGTGGCATGCCGCCGGTAATCAACGAGGTCCGCTGCAGATCGAGGAAGCGACGCGGCCAAAAAGACATGGTAGTTGTGAGGCCCCTTATCTCTCGGAGATTTTCTCATCTTAAAAAGCTACTGCACTGAAAACGTCCGTGGATGTCTTTTCCTCCCTGGAGGCAACGCAAAGGAGATCCTCCATTGTGCCCGTGCTGTTTGTCCTTGCCGTAGTGGTGGTTGGTGGTGATCTGCGGGGGCTGGCGATGGCTTGGCTGGAAGCGGTTTGCGAAGACTAGCGCGGACCTACTCACGCTTGCCAGTGACCAGGACTGCTTCGGTAGCGATAGCCAGCTGAAGACGTCTTCCTACGGTTGTTGTTGTGGCGGCGTGACAACGGTAACCCCAGGTTTATTTCGCATGTAGTGGTTCTGTGGTGGTTGTTGACTCTTTGTGAGAGCGGTTGTTTTTTGTTTTTCTGTAAATGTTTTATTGTACTTTGCTTCTACTCTACTAATACACGCACAGCAAATTTCTTACTGGTGCCTTAAAAAAAACATGGCAGGCCCTAGACGATCTTGATGTCGGGCTGGTTCCACGAGTAGGCACTGGTGCCAGCCGCCGAGGGTTGCCGGCTGTGGGGACTGGGGAGGCACGAGAGCACCTCGGGCTCCTGCTCCATCGCGAGTCCGCGCGGCAAGGCGTGCGTCCATGGCGGCACGGAACACGATGTTGGCCCTGACGTGCCTGCCCATCACGAACACCGCCCTGCCGGCGACAGCGTGCGGGCGCACCCGCAAGACGGCGCCGCGGGGAGACGTTAGTTCACGGTCGGGACGACCGCCGGGGCGGCGACGGCGAGCATCGTGCAGGTGTTGTGGAACGGTTCAAAGGCCGCGCGGAAAAGGCATGCCCGCACCGGAAGCCGTGGGAGTACTGGAGTAGACGATCCGGAGCAGCTGGTCGTGGACGCCGGACCCGGACGGCACGAAGAGGAGGAGGGCCGTGCCGATAGCAGCAGCATCGATGATATAGGAAGGCGCTCGGTGCGTGGCGGCGGCGTCGACAACAGGAAGAAGATAATCGACGGGTTAAGCGGTTTCTACCCGATCTAACCCAGCCTGTAAGTTGCGTCATGGTGCGGTTTGCTATGGTCTGGTTTCTGGGTTGGGCTGGGTTGTAACTGGACCACGCGCCATGCTTGCTGGGACCCACCACCGTCCGCAGCGCCGCGACTCCGCGAGGTCTCCGAATACGGACGCGCCTTGCTTGCTGGGCCCAACCACCGTCCGCAGCCGCCGCGAAGTCTCCGACTCCGATAGGCTCGTGAGGTCTCCGACACCGCCGGAGAGCACGTCCGGCGCGCCCACGCAGGTCATGATCGCCAAAACAGCGCACCCATGCGGAGGTCGTGGCACTAAACTCCCGCAGCTTACAACCACAACAGCGCCATCGACAACCTCGCCGGAGGCACGCCAGCCACCGACGAGCCGACGACCTCGCCGCAGGAGCGCCCGAGATGGAAGGCCTCATCGTGCTGCCACAAGCAAGATATCCGAGCTCGTCGCTGTGATTGCTGGCGGTGGGAACGCCCAGCTCGGCATCGATATGCCCGGGTGCTATATATGCGGTCATTTTGCTGCTTTCATCTAGAACCTTGTGCTCCCTGCGGTCACAGCGGTACTGTAGCAGTTTTCGTTATTATTTAACAATTAGTATCCGATCATAGTCTAATTAGGCTTAAAAGATTCGTCTCGTGGATTTCGTCTAAACTGTGTAATTAGTTTTATTTTTTATTTATATTTAATGCTTTATACATGCGTCCAAAGATTCGATGTGACGAAAATCTTGAAAAATTTTGTAAAATTTTTTGCAACTAAACTGGACCTCAAAATCCTATCAATCGAAGTTCCAGCTGGCAGCTGCTGTCCCGAATCAGCAATCAGAGTGTTTCTGGTCCAATCCACAGCAGCACAGCACTTGGTTGCCGATTTTGGTGGTCCATGCTTGTGCGAAATCTTGCCGGTGTACTGTCTTGGCCAACGACACTAGATTGGTCAGGTAGGCTTTGAGATGGTATAGATGGCCTTTTTTTTTCTTTTCAAATACACAAAAGATTTGTGTATCATTGTATTAAGAAAAAGGGTTTGAACTTACAAGCAACGCGCATGTCAAGCGCCGAAGAAGGTCGACCAAACAACCGTAACTAGACCATCCTAACAAGAGGACTCACGTTTCGATATTACATAAATGAAAAATAACCGATACCAACTCAGCTCAGCGGTATAGATGGCCTTGTCCATGCCAATGTGACATGC